TAGTCCTAGCCTCCCTCATCGCCACAAGGTAGGATCTAAGATGTATCCTTACCTGTGCTCGGTCGGATTCGGTTCGGCTGGTCCTCCAACTGCTCTCTAGGCGTCTTTTCCGACGTTTCATCTCTCTCAGCCCCTCGGTAAACCAAGGAGATGGTCGAGATCCACGTCGGGTCAGAGGCCGCAAAGGCACGACTCGGTCAATGACTTAGATGAGGGAATTGAAGGGGAACTCATCAAATTTGCAGATGACACCAAACTGGCAGGAGTAGCCAACACCCCAGAAGACAAACTCAGGATCCAAAAAATCTTGACAAACTTGAACAATGGGCCCTATCTAACAAAATGAGTTTCAATGTGGAGAAAAGCAAAATTTTACATTTAGGCAGGAAAAATCAAAGGTATAAGTACAGATTAAGCGAGGCATGGCTTAAAAACAGTAACTGTGAGAGGGACCTTGGAGTCCTAGTGGATGATCGCTTCACTGTGAGCCAACAGTGTGCAGCAGCAGCAAAAAAAGCTAATACAATCGTGGGTTGTATAAACAGAGGCCTAGAATCAAGATCATGCAAAGTATTAGTACCTCTTTATAAAACCCTAGTAAGACTACAACTGGAATACTGCAGCCAATTCTGGTCACCGTATCACAAAAAGATGTTGAGAGTTTGGAGAAAATTCAGAGAATAGCAACTAAGGTGATCAAAGGCTGGAGACTAAAACATACGAAGAACAGCTGCAGGACTTGGGTTTGGCTAGTCTAAAGAAAAGAAGAAACAGGGGAGACATGATAGCAGTATTCCAGTATTTGAGGGGCTGCCACCAAGAAGAGGGGGTCACATTATTCACCAAAGCACCAGAGGGCAAGAAAAGAAACAATGGTTGGAAACTGATCAAAGAGAGAAGCAACCTGGAATTAAGGAGAAACTTCCTGACAGTGAGGACAATTAACCAGTGGAACAGCTTGTCTCCAGAAATCATGGGCACTCCATCATTGGATATTTTTAAAAAGAGGCTAGACAGTCACTTGTCTGAGATGGTATAGGTCCTCCTGCTTGAGCAAGGGGCTGGACTAGAAGATCTCCAAGATCCCTTCCAACTCTATTCTATTTTAACCCAAATAAAGCAGCGATTTTCACAGCTTTACTCTTTTAAAATACCTTACCTTTCTTTTGTCATTTTTTAATGTTACAATAGGCAGAAAATAACAAAACATCTGAAGTGTGTTAAAGTTTCAGTCAAGGAATAATTCAAAACAGATAAACTTTAACTGAAAGGTTGAACCGATTCTTCTTAGTATTTTAAAAAATGTTTTTTCAAATATATTCAACATGATTACTGCTTTTTATATACTATTTTTAAGATAAAACACACAGGAAAAACATTTGAAAAGATGTAGTGAGTTTTAAACACCTGCCTATTTAGCATGCTGCAATGCTGGGTTTCTTGCATTTATGAAGAATTAACATAGATGATCCTAAACGTTCCCTTCCATTTATTGATTCCATGATCTTTCAGCACATGTTCAAATTGTTGCTGGCCAATCTGTAAGCATGAATCAAATTTTTTTGGTAGAGAAGTGGATATACAGTATGTAAAGCTGTTGACTTAACATCTGTTGTTACATATATAGATGAAATAAAGAATAACATTCATGGGAGAAGAAAAACATGAGAGATACCTAAAATGCATGTTAGATGCACATTTTCTCTAACAGACTTTTTTTTAATACTAAGACAATGTTATAATGAGACTTGAAAGCTCTACTCATAGATTCCTTTCAATGTGGAAAAAGGCATCAAATGCTCTCAAAGTAAACCTTTCTCACACAGTCATATTACAGTTATTTTGCTGTTCTAAGCAGTATACCACTCAACAAAATTAGCCTGCAATTACACTTGTAATAAAATGTAAATTTNATTTGGCCAATTTCAATAATTTCCTATTAGCACCCGCAGCATGCCACCTCTCGGGGTTCCAAACCCCATCCTCAAGGTGGGCCCTTGTGATCTTAATGGGCCAGGCCTGCGCGAGGGGTGAGTCGCGCAGAGCCAATAGGACCGTCCTCGGATACATTGGTTAAATCATAAGTCCGGCTGTGGGAGATCAAAAGAAGAGGGGGGGGAAAAGGATTTTCAGTCTCGGCCACACCAAGTTCTCCATCGGCTGGAACGGAGCCAGAGCCAGGATCCTCCAGGCCATCCTCCACCGGCCAGAGACAAGTTGGTAAGCAAATCATTGCAATCCTTAAAAGAGTCATGCAGTCGTTAAGTGAATGTCACTTCCCCCATTGACTTTGGTTTTGAAAGCTGGCTGAGAAAGTTACAAATGGTGCTTACATGACCCTGGGATGCTGCAACCATCATAAATACATGCTGATTGCCAAGCACCCACGTTTTGATCACCTGACCATGGAGGTGATGTGACAGTGGTCAGTGCCATTGTAACTTTGAATGATTGCTAAATCAATGGCTGTAAATCGAGCACTGCTTGCATATAGTTGTACATAATTAGGACTAGGTTTCCAGGCACACTGTGTGATTTATTCTTTTCAACCATATAGCTCTTCCATCACTCACCTATATGCAGGACACTGCACCAAGTTCACACCACCTGAACCGTTCAGTTATAAAGAAGCTCTCCTACTTTTATAGTAGCCAGTGACATTTACTAGCCACCCAGTGAAATGAAGGGCGCTTGAGTTGAAATGGTATCCCATTTCTTTTGAATCTGAAACATAGTCTCAGTTGTTTATTAAAACTGTAGACAATGTGCCTCCAAAGAGTTAAAGCCTTGCAGATGTCTATGAATCAACTTCTCAAGGGAAGCCACATTGACTATTACTGCCAAAAGAGCCAACAGTGCATCGCCAACAGCCTGGTACAAAACAGTCCAGTGCACAATTTTAACATACGACTCCTAATATTTTCATGCATAGCTTCTTCTTTTTTTAATTAAAAATGTGTACTGGATAGATATATGATGAAATAAATGCTTAAACATGAAAGAACTGCTTCAACACAAACATAACAACCAAATTGAGGCCCTTCTGAAAATCAGAGATGGAAACCTGATCCAAGTATTTCTTCGACAAAAATTCCCATGCACTATTTTCTACACACCCAAACTAAGCAATCTGCTCTGCACAGTAGGACTTCTGGTAGATGCATATGAATGTTATATTCCTAAGGCTCCAGTTTCAGATTTATCTAGATTTATTTTCCATGTCAAAGGCCGTGGCTTACTGACTTCCCAGAGCTATAAAAAGTTTCATGAATGAAGGAATCCTCTGGGGAAAACACAGGATCAACACTGACCTGGAGGAACATTTTTACTTGAATGGTATTTCCATGTGACCCACATGCAGAGTGACAGCACATTTTAAAGAGACAGCTAACAAGAGCATGATGGCCAGAATTGCCTAATATCATCAAACTACAGAATTGTCTGGTGGCAGATAATGAGATACACAGACTCACTAAGTGTAAACAATATGGATTTTTCTACTTGCAGGACTGGTTTTATTCAAGTGGGATGAATGCTGCAGTTCTGTTCCTGAGAGTATTTTGCATCAATTTGGACTTTTCAGTACATTTATACTCCTAAGCAATCAACCTACTGAAGCCATGAGATTTACTTCTGGGTAATCATGTATATATATATTGCATTACTGGCCTCTTATCTCAAACAGCTGTGCCAGCACAAGCCCCTGTATGTTGATTCTAAATGACGCCTGTTGCCTTGACAGCAATCCTATGTACATTTTACTTAAAAGTATGAACGTCTATTTCTTTGTATAAAAAGCAAATATTGCACGGTTGCACATCACCCATCATCACTGGTCTCACTTCTGAGTGAAGTTACCTAGGACTAAGCTACACATCTCCAAGGTGCCACAAGATTTGAAACTAAAACCCCGTTGCAAATGCAAATTGTACAGCTGCACTGAAGTTTGCCTGCTCTTTTTGCACTGACGGGGCTCCTCTTCAGGAACGAAAGTGGAAAGTTAGGAATCACGGACTGCCTCAATCAGTCAATTCCCGATTTCTAAATCAAGTTTCCTATCAAGCCATTGCCTCCAACCGAATTCCCACGAGACACCACTCACCCGAGTCCCGTTTGAGGAAGAATTCTGTGACATTCAGGACTTGCTACTCTACCAGCACAGCTGAGCCCCTGAAAATACCTATTGAATGCCAGCGCAGATCTCCTATTTTCCACTCGTTGAACCGCTATCTAGAAATATGTCTTGCAAGGCTTTCGGGTATGGAACGCAGGGATCTGGAAAGGCTCAACTCTCTGCAAGGAATAAGTAGTAAACAAACAGAACACTAAAGCAGACGCCCGGGTTGCTTTTCTCTGGCAAGTCTCAAAACACGCCGCTCAGTCTCGGATGAAATGCCAAGGGGAGAAGCGGGGATGGGGAGAGAAAAATGGGGGGGGGGGACCCCCAAAGCAATCGCAAAATACTTACGCCCAAACGTCTGCTCCTAATCTTGACATACCCTTGCTTTACGATATCATTAAAATTAGAAGCCATCCCGGGTTACGGCGGACGAAGGTGGGCTGGAGCAAAAGTTGCAAACGCAGCCCAGTTTGTAGCTGTGGGTGGCTGGTTTGGCTTCTCGCTTGGCTGCCGTTTGAACTCCCCCCACCCCACCCCGGATCGACCCGTCTTTGGGATAAATCCTCCAATCCTGACCCAGAAGCTCGGCAACCCGTACGACTGTTTTCCTGCTCTCTGTCTCTCTAACTCTCTCTCTCTCTCTTGCTCTCCCTCTCTCAGAGATACAGAGAGAGAGAGAGAGAGAGAGAGAGAGAGAGAGAGAGAGAGAGAAGGGTAGCTTGAACGCCGCCGAGGTCGCAGCGGAATGAGAGGAGGAATCAGCCCAAATTCTCTTCCTCCTCCCGCCTCCCCAGTTCTTTCTTTCTTTCTTGACTTCCCTAGTAAGGACTGCAGTTCCCTCTCTTGCTTCCAGGATGCAGGAGCAACTTTCTCTCCTTGTTCCACTCACTTTTGATAGGGCAGAAGTAGCGTCGGCAACTATAGAGGAGGAGGGAGTGACAATCCTATAGAATAAAAGAAGGAGAAGAGGTGGGGATCTAATTTCAAGATCACTAAGCTTCCACTCCAGGATCTTTGCCCAATGCCAAGAAGGGACTGCCATGATGATAAAAATAAGCCTTGACCAAGTTTCCTTAAGCTGCTGTCCTTCAGCTGTGGTGAGCAATAACTTCCATGAGAATTGTAGTTCAACACATCTAGATGAATCAATAAATGTCTCCCCCACCCCACCCCGGAAGATATGGAGTGCATTTCCTACAGTCTGTGGGAGCAGGCAGCTATAATAAATGTAAATTAACAATAAAATAATAATTTCCTCCATTATGAGCTGCTCAGAGCTTCTTAATGTTGAACTTTATCCTGAAATGTATTTAGTGGACTTGGAAGAAGCAAGATGGAAACAGCATCAATGCGTTTGAAGTTTGGCATTACCAAAATGAAAATACCAGGGATTGCCAAAGACAGAAACAAATGGATCATTGAACAAATCAACCCAGAGTTCACACTCAAGGCACAAATGGTTAAGCTCAAATGATCTTACTTTGGACTCATTTTCTGAAAAATTAGTTCTCTGGAGAAGGTTCTAGTGCTGTGGCTGGGGAATGGAATGAAAAGAGGATGACCATCACCAAGAAAAAATGGATAACCAGTTACAGTGGTGATGGATCCACCATTGAAAGATCTGAAAGACCAGGTTAAGACCAGATTGTCATGGAGAAAAATCTACCTATGTGGTCAGTAAGAATTGACATTGACTTGATGGCACATAATCAAATATGTCTTTAGTAAGATATACCAATGTTGGAAATATTGCCCTTTGTATTGCAGGATATATTAGATTCTGAATCTAGACAAATTAAACAATATAAAGCCCATTTTGTCAAGATCATCCTAACTGGGTAACCCTTTCTCCTTTTAGATATGATATTTTCTCAAGAGGACATACAGTATATAGTGGTAATATATCAATAATACCCGAAAAACTATTTGCAAAGGAACATGATTTTCTAAGAAGTAAGTTGGAGGGAAGAAAATCTGAACATCAGTGACAAGAGATGTTGGGTTCCTAGTGTTTTCACAACCATCCTACTCTCACCATCATTTATTTAAAAAATAATGTGTTCTAACATATGTTCTATATCCAAGGAGGATTGTAAGTACTTATATTGTCAATGCAATGAAGATTCTGCTTCACAAACCTTGGGTTCAAAGAAGTGCTGATTGCAAATTCTGGAGCTGTAATCTAACACCACCTCAGGAAACTTAATTCTATTGGAACTATATGTTTCAAATCTTAACCACATTTTTTCCAGCCCAACACTTTGCAACTTCTACCAAATAATATAACAAAATTGAACATGAGAATTTTCTACATTCAACACTTGTGCTGTAAATGATAATGATAATATAACAGCTGCTATTTAGCATTAACTCATTGTTAATTCTTATGGATTATATATAGATGTTCTACAGGCTGAGTTGTCCCTTTAAGTTATTGCTGGATGCTTCTTCACTTTCCATTCATCTTTCCCAGCATTATGGACTTCTCCAGGCAGCTGGGTCTACACATGTATCCAAAATATTATAGTTTGAGACTGTTCATTTGTGCTTCAAGTGACAACTCCAAATTGACTTGATTTATGATAAGTTTGTTTGTTATCTGGTATTCTCAGGCTTCACCTCCATCTCTGAAGTTCAAGGCATCAGTATGCTTTCTATTCCACTTCTTTAAAGTCCAACTTTTACATTTGTGGAGTAACACAAAGAAAACTATTGACTGAACAATTCTAATCTTTGTACAATACATATAAACACATCACAGCATCTGAATATCTTCTCCAAGACCTTCACTGCCACCATATCAAGTGTTAGTCTGCAGTGAATTTCTTGACTGCTTGCTCTTTTATTATTGATATGTGATCTTCAAAGGCAAAAGCAATCCATCATTTCAATGTCTTCATTGTCAATTCTAAGACTGGTTGCTGAGCCCATTGTGATTAATTTGATCATCCTTATATTTAACTGTAGTCCCAATTTTCATTGTGCTCCATGATTTTCATTATTAGAGCTTGCAATTGATTTGCATTTTGACTATCAAAATTCCGATAAAGATTATTGATGCTTTTTTCTCCAAATATAAAACTACATACATCTTCCACTCAAGTTTCTCTCAATATATATTCTGCATATAGATTGAATAAATAAGGAGAGAATATACAGCCTTACTTCATTCTTTTGCCAACCGGGCACCAATCTACTTCACCCTTTTCTGCTCATACTGTCTTCCTGTCCTATGTACAGATTTTTTATGAGGACAATAAGATGTTCTGAGATTCCTACTTTACTAAGGATATTCCACAGCTTGACATGGTTAACACAATTGAAATCCTTCCCATAGTGAGTGAAGCATATATGAATGTCTTTGTCTTTCTCAATTACTTAACGTACATCAAGAAAAATGTCTCTTGTTCCTCAGTTTTTTCTAAAACCAGCTTGAACATTCCCTTTTCCATGCAGGACTCTAATCTGTGTTAGATCGTCCTTAATATTATTTCACAAGCATGCAAAATTAAGGATATTGTACAATACTCTGCACATTCTGTTAAGTCTTCTTTCTTTGGTATTGGTATGTACACTTGCTTCTTCCAGTTTGTTGGACATTCTTCAGCTTTGCTGGCACAATTTGGTTAGCACCTTTACAGATTCCTACTGTATGGTATTTTGGTATATTCTTTCCATCTTTATTAACGTATTACCACTTCTAGTTTCTTCTCTTTTTTTTGTTTGTTGTATTTTTTTTTCTTCTGGTCTCTTTTCACATTGACCCTTAACAACATCTTTGATTTCATTCCAAGTTGTTCTGGTTCTCTATCAATGAGGCACAGGACTTCCCAGAGATTCTTGAAGGTCCTCCTTGAAAAATGGTAAGATTATGCTCACTCTCTTATCATGGAAACTGGTCGATTTCGTTCTTCCACTTCATCTTGGTGTGGAACTTCATATTTGATCTATTCCATGCTCAACCCCTGATCACATCTTCATTGTTATAACTGAGATCTTCCAGCTCTTTGGACCAATAATATAGGCAATTTGGTTTCTGTACGCTCCATCCAGTGATGTCCATATGCTATTGCATTGCCTACAGATTGTGTTAGCATCTTCCCACCTTTTCTTCCTTGTGGGGAGAAACATTGTCTTGTTATATTTGTTTTGGATGAGCTTAAATGGAGACAAATGCTGCTACTCTGGTAATCTTCAAGCATTTTCCACCGTATTATCATTAGACAATCTCAGCTCTGTGTTAGCATTTATAATTGTGGGAGAACAAAAGGTCAGAGCGAAGTGTTAGTGGCTCTGTTATTAATAATTTACATGGATAGTGATTATAATTGCATTATTCTGTAGCGTGGGAACCATGTTTTAGTCTGTGGTGCAGCTTCACAAAGATTTATTTTGGCAAGAGAAGAAGAAGCAGTAAATGATTCCAACAAAATGATCAGCAGCTCATTCTAGAGGTCTTCAAATTTTTGCCCTTCTGAGCTTCTCTTCCTGAAGATGAGAATATGAAAGATTCCACTATTTTTTAACGATTTGAACAGTAATATCAACCTTTAATGGTCTTTTCTGAAAATAGGGAATCAACAACTTCATAGAGCATTAACCCTATTCAGCTCTTATGCTAGTTTTAAAAAGATATGACTGTTCTGCATATATGGACACCCTTGTACATACGTGCAGGTTATAAACATTGGAAAAGCTAACATATAAATGAGCTGAGTTTGTATATATTCAGCAATATTTGCTGGTCTTATGGTTCAGTCTAAGGCCCATTTTAGGCTTTAGAACAGCGGTTCTCAACCTATGGGTCGCGACCCCATTTGGGGTCGATCAACTATTTCACAGGGGTCACCAAGCAAGGCTGTCCGCCATTTTTTTCCCTTTTCTGGCAGGTGCCTTACCTCCCTTGGGCTGGGCCAGCTGGTGGTCGGCCTGCTCCGTCTCTGCCGCTTGCCAGCTACGCCTCGGCCGGAGCAGGGGGTGGAACCACGCATGCGCGGCGCTCCCAGGCAGGGAAAGTCCTCGACTTACGACCGGTTGGGTAGTCCTCGACTTACAACCGGTTTAGTCCTCAACTTACGACCGGTTTAGTCCTCGACTTACGACCGGTTTAGTCCTCGACTTACGACCGGTTGGGGGGTCGCGGCATTAAAAAGGTTGAGAATGGCATTAAAAACTGCTTTAGAATGGCATTAAAAACTGCTTTAGAAAGGCATTAAAAACTGCTTTAGAATGATCAGCTTGATGCTTTCAGGATATTCAGAACAACAGATATGTCAAATAGAAGAGAATATAATGCAGCTCAGGACTGAATTGTAGAGTCCTTGATGCTCTCTGACCTTGGTTGCTTGCTTACAGATGTTTCATTTCCCAACTAGCTGAAGACACACACTATTGCTCTACTGCTCGTTTACCAT